ACCCTTCTCTCCTTCCTGTTGCGAGGCTAATCCTCTACCAAGCGTCCCCAAATAGATGCCACGAGGCACGCCGGCTAATACGTTACAATATATAAACAAACTGTAGTATAAAAAATTCGAAATATCAGCTATTTTGTCCTCTAATATCTGAAAAGTTACGAATTTTAAGATAATTACACCAGTACTTTCAAAGTGTTTCAAATTGACCACCTGGGTACAATGTATTCTTCTTTGGAAACCCTTTTATACACATTGGAGTCTTTTTACAACGACTAGCAGGAATGGTCTATAAAAACATTGAGAAAGAGGATTAAACAAAACTCGCGAAAACCTCTGTGTTAGATTAGCAAAAACAATTCAATTCGGTATAGTTTTACGATAACATTAACTTTAAGAAGTCTCCTATTCAAAATAGGAGTCCTGTAAGTGTAATATAATAGCCCTAGGGAGGATGCGTGTTTTCCCTCAAGAGGTGGCGCTTATTTTCTCCGCTGGGAGGTGAGATCCGACCTCTATCGGTTTTCGGGGTCTCCCGCAACAAGGTTTCTCCCACGAACGGGGCACGCACCAGCCGGCTCTAGCTTCCGACCATCCATCCGGTCAGTGGCGGCGCGTGACGTTGAGTTGTGCAGTGCGCGTAAGTGTCTGTGTGTGTAAGGGGTGAGAATATGTCAAGAAATGGGAAGGAACAATCGTGCGCGGTCCTTGGCCGGTCGTCGTACTGCTCCGGCATTCGCCTGGTATTGATCGGAGAAACCACGAAAAACTAAGAAAAAATGCTGCCATGGTCGTGACCCGAACCTAGAACCTCCCGGTCAGAGGTACGACAGTGACATTACTTGATGCCTTGAGACACCTCTCCCGGTTAATACATCACGGAATACACTAGTTGCACTGTCACTTTTATTTTCAAGAGAATATCGAGGTGAGAAAGGCGACGCGAGCCCAGCCCATGCCCCCATGGCAGCGGCGGAGGGAGAGTGGATTGCGCGTCGGTCGCGTGCGGGATGCGTAATGAGTGGGCGTGGCGCGCCGCTTCCACTGGCCACTGCAAGGGCTTCTCCGGACGCCGGCGCAGGCGGCCCGGAGGCCCGGAGGAAAACGAGCTCCGGCGGCGGCAGCAGGCGGCGCGTCCCTGTGCAGACCAGGCGCAGCAGTTTGAGTTTCTAAGGCAGAGGAATTTTTATGCCTGCGAAGTATCTGGGTCCAAACTGGCTTCTGCCTCGGAGAGAATACTAGGGACTGGATGCTCTGATCGCTCTTTTCCATGATTTACTTCAATAGTGTCAAGTGTAACTACAGATAGCTGTCAAAGGAAATGGTTTAAATAGATCTGAATTTCGTAGCAATTGTTAACCAAGCAGAATGTTATGTTAGCATTCATGTGGTCGGAAACTATATAATCAACTCAATATTCTAATACTATTTTCGTGCCTTGATCATTCTCGACCGTACGTTCCAGAGGGATCATTATTTTTGAAAGATTTTAAGGGTCTCAATGACACAGAGAGATGTCAGGTGTGAAGGGTGGCTGACACATCTTCCCCAAAGCGCCGTTTACACAAGGGGAGCTAACTGGCCAACATTTCGCTAGACAGCGTTTGGCGAGTGAAGCCCTTTGACAGCGCCAAGTATAGTTCGTAGGCTTGCGGACTGATATGTTGCACTTGCCGATTGAGGTGCCGGTACCGACATTACCGACCATTTAAAGACGTATTAAGTGAGTTGCAGTTATCATGTTTTGTTACTATACAATTTAAAATGCTACCGTTAAGTAATCATATGAACATAGTTGTATTATTTTAGTGTTTGAAAATGATCCGTTTTATTGTATTTCAACAACTAGTAAACTCATAGAACATATCAATACAGATACCATCAGAACCCTTTGACCAAGATACGTATGAAGGGAATTATTTGAAAGGGAAACGTGTTTTAATATGATTCAACACATTGCATGTCGTTGAGTTCACGATACTGAATGTCCCGTCTCCACCATGGAATAGAGTTACCCAAAAGATCATAATCGCTAGGAAAGGGAATATACCTTGAAGCTTTCCAGTATCTTAACATATTTATTTAAACTTAAGCACACAGAAAAAATCGTATTTTAGTTACGTATAATAAATGTCAAAAATTAAAATTAATTTGGCCAACTGATGAGTCTGCTTATTTTTTTAATGTTAATATTGCACTTCATTTCTCAAGACTGATTGGATGCGAGATCCGAAAGTTATTAGTATTACCTATGTCATAGAAATTATATAGATGATTGTATTATATTTTATAACTTTATAAGAAGATTGTATTGCAGGAATGTTTTTCCTGCTATCTCGTTGTTATTGTCAAGATATAATGTAATTTAAAGAAATACTCATTAATATAATTTTTCAATAATTTATTTGGTTTTACATTTTGACTCGTAATTGGGGTATTTTTCAAAAAAACTGTATCTTGGACCCAGGATTGTGAAAATATATTGTTAAATAATAAATTTGAGGTAGCATTTTATATACAAAATTTGCATTATTAAAAGTTAATAGAATTAGAATTCAATGTAATTATATTTTGGGGTCCATTGTTAAAGCTTCGAATTGCTCTGTAGAATTTTTTGGAAGAGTATTGATGCAAACCTGATAATTTGAAGATACGACTGAACTTAACCTTGATAAAACATAACCTTAAAGAAGAAAACTTAAATTCGTCGCCTAGAATGAAATAAGAATGTTAGCGTACGGAAACTCCAAATTAAGGGCACACGCACTAAAGACGTAAGCTTAGATATAACCTGGCTGTTTACCGCATAATCGATGATTTTGTTGGGAGCGTCCGCAATGGTAACTGGCATCAATGCAGGGACTGCGCGAGGACATAGACGGGAGCCAGCTCCCAGGATCCTTCAATAACTTTATGTCCCGTGTTTGATGACAAATTGCTGGGCATCGAGGCAAATGCCGTCTACCGCAATCACTTTGCAAACGACTTTCTTTCGTTTTCATTTCAACAATGACTAGAAAGAGACGCTAATGTTTCTAAGAAATTTCTCACTTCCAAATCGCGCTGACTTCATCTGCTTCGTAATGCCCTCTTCAAGGGCATACGACGAAACATGTATTTAATGTAAAACACGTTTCCCTCATACAGTTGTGTATAATCAGGAGTTTTGGAAAATATTAACGCGAAAATAATAATTTCAGTCCCCAGCAAATAAAAAATGCAAGAGTTTAGAATTGATTGAGGGCATATCTAGAGGCTTGGCACCAAATTGAAAATGCGCATTTATTTAAAAAATGTGTTGCCATTGTTTTATATAATTCATCTAACGACTATTAATATTAACAATTTTTATATATAAAGCTACCAATTACTTTTAAAATTTTAACAAAGTATTTTTACAATTATCGATACAAGATGCAATTATTGAATAAGACCCTAATAAAGTTCTAAACATTAAACAAAATTAATTATTGAACAATTGTATTTATGGGTTTTGAAAAAAATGCATAGTATGTAAGACTACCCTTTAATAAATTAAACAGAAAATTCCTATGACTATCAGAATATTAAGTGAAACAGTTTTAAGAAATTGTGAGTTTGCAGCAAGACAAGAAGTCTGCAGACTCCATCCTGTACTACAATGATTTTGTTATCTTGGTGAAGATTGAATGCACATGGAAGAGCGAAGTGAATCAAGTTGAGTAATATTTCTCCAAGAACGTAAGTCCTGTGCACTTCATCTCGGATGGGATATACCAGAATACTAATTGCCAGCATCAAGAAACGTTTCTAGATTGCTATCAATATTAGTCACAGATGCGTTGGCGATCAGTCAGGCACTTCACGACAAGTAGAGTAATGCGCATTGGATTTTAGCTTACGACTCTGCGTGGATTTGAGAGGGACGAATTTACAAAGAGTTTTTAAGACCACGGTCAGGTGTACGTGAGGGTTGTCAAAACAAATGCTCAATATTTTAAAATTCGAGTTAACATTCAGAAGATTTAAGGAGTTCATTAATTTTATTTTGATATATTATTGCATTTTCAATAGCATCAAATGCAATTGTGAGTTAGACATTTTTAAGTTAAAATAATGTTTCGTAACGTAATTTACTCAATGTAACGTATTTTGTTTGTATAAATTAAGTTCACATACCGGCATATGTTTATATTTATAACCCTGCGAAACTCTACATTTAGTACTGTTAACATAAAATACATTTAGTACTACTGAGGCACAGTAAACAGAGGATATGTTTACAGTATTACAGATCATGTTTTTTTATGGTCTTCGAAATCTGCATTTCGGAGAACGCATTTAGGATAAATACAGTTAAATACAGAAATCATGCCCATGACTCGGTTATTTATTTTAGTGAAATGTCAATTGAAATTTTAATTTTTCAATTTTTTGAGAGCTGTTTGTCTATTTCATGTAAATCAATTGTAATAAACCCAATTCCAAACGTGACGTAATAAATATCACGGTATAAATGCAAATATTATTTTTGTATGTGATATAATCATTATTTTATAAAAACTAATGTATGATATAGCGGCTTCTATATGTCATTTCGAACAAGTCCATCTAAATGAGAAGCGTATCGCAAAATTTAAATTAATCAATATACTACATAAGTGCCATAAAGAATAAAAAATATTCTTACTTCTATTATTTCTCACATCTGTGTAATTTTAAATTTCACCTGCCACAGATCAATTCCGTGATTTGTCAGCATTTCCCAAATCTGTGTGAGAGCGCCTGTCCGTGTTCGCACAATCCCTTATTCCACTCGCGGTATTGACAATTCTGTCAGCTCAAGTGCGAAACCAATAACGACTCCCGGGCGGCAGCGGCGTGGAATCAGCAATGAGGCAAATTGTATTGTGCAACCGAATTTCCATATTTCAAGCTGTCGAACTGAATGAAACAAAAAATAATTATAGGGATTGTGCATATTTATTTCCTATGCATTTCCGTATTGTGAGTATTTTTTTCGCATGGCCATGCGGGTGGACGTGTGCCTGTGCATGTCTCTGTGTTTGTATGTATGAGATCTTGTGCATTTATTGTACAATGAAAATAATTAATACTTTGGAAAACTATAGTGCTAAATCGCAAATTCATGTTTTTTGTTGTACATTACATTTTCATTATATTTTGCAAGTAGTAGGACTTTTTGGAAATTAATACATATTTAAGGGCTTTAAACATCGAAAGAAAAGTTCCGAGAACATTAAATAAATATTTTATTTAACGATAGTGTTTAAACTTCAGGTATGGTCTAAGATAGCTTGTAAAGATAAACGTAATTGTTTCGACATAATCTCGTAGTGGTAAATTAAATAAGAAAGAAAATAAAAATAGAATGAACTTTTATGGCTTTGAAAGCAGACATGATAGCCATTCAGTTTAAATTGCTTGAGTGCAGACGAAGAATTAAAATGAACGTGTTTAAGCAAAGACATGTTAAAGAATCGGTTTAAATGTTTTGATTCCAGACATAGGTATAATTGGTTTCATTGTCTCTGAGGGAAGATGTAGTGAAAATTATTTGAGAAATATAAAGTATAAATGAGGTTGAAGTTTTGCTTAATTGTAAATATTACGGGATCAATGTTCGAATTTGAAACGTTATTGCTATATGTAATTGTAAATAACTGGCTTAACTCGATCTGAATGTACTGGACATTGACTGCATCAATAAACTTGATGATAAGAACTTGTTTTCTTTCTGAAGGTATAAAAACGGTTCATACTATTCAATAAAAGAATTGACGGGCGGAACTCTTATATTTTCAAAAATATTTCATGTTTATGTGATGGGACTGCACACACGAATGAAAAAGAAGCAAGTTGGTGAGTTAAAACAAAAGAAGAGAGTGAATAAAATGCTGATAATTTGATAGTACAAACTATAGTCCAATATTATATTTGATAGTATCAAAATATATTTGATACTACAAAAGAGATGAAGAGACCTTTGATAAGCTGAACAAAAAGATGAGCCACTTCAGCTCGTGTAGGGCGTGGCAGCCCGAGAGGCAGCGTGGGAGCGCAAGTGGCTGCGGTAACCCTGAGGAGGCCCTCTGGCTGTTGCAGGTCGCTCATATCGGCGCGGCCTTTCATGTCCACCATCAACGGCTTCCTCTGCCTGCTAGGGGCCTCGCGCGCCGCCTGCCTCTTCATTGACCCTTACAACGTGAAGGAGGTAAGGCCGCCGCCCGGCGCTGCCCACAGCCCTGACCCGCGCCGCCTTCCACACATCGATCAGCCGAGCCACATAGCACCGCCCCTTGGCCGAGTCCCCCCTACTCTCAATCTCCTCACTGCGTTCAACACTACCTCGCCGCTCTCAGTCATCCTCTGTGCCGCACCTCTTCCTCTACAACCTCGCTTCCTACTACCACCCACTTCCCTCAATACCTCCCTTCTACGCCACGCCTCGTTCCACCCCACCTCACCCCGCTCCGTCTCGCTCCCTCCACTTCGCCACACGCTTCGCAACAATCTCCGCCCCACTCTCCGTCCTACTCTACACCCCACTCTAAGCCCCACTCTGGGTCCTTCGATTCCATCCACACTCCCACCCACACACTCCCACCCACACACTCCCACCCACACACTCCCACACACGCATACTCCCACACACGCATACTCCCACACACGCATACTCCCACACACGCATACTCCCACACATTCATACTCCCACGCACTCCCACAAACACACTGCCACAAACACACATTCCATACACTCCCAAAACTCACACACACTCACACCCTCACTCGCCTGCAACTCTTCTTCGGTCTTCCCGTCCCTCGCCGCTTCTTTCTGCCCATTACGCCACACCACCTCTCACTGCGCCCTCTTCACTCTGTTCACCGCACTCCTGTCTCTATAACTTTCAATTTCTCTCCACCCTTTCGCCTCCCACTCTCCTCTCTGGCCTTCCAATTTCTCTTTGCTTCTTCCCATTCCCCCTCGCCAAGTGCAGCACCCCCTTCTCCATGTTTGTGCCAGCTCCCCCTTGCAGCGCGTCCCGCTCCGCCCCAGCGTTGCATCGTGCTTCTCAAGAACTTTACATCTTGACCCTCCCCCCCTCCCCCCTCGCTGCGTTTTATGCTCTTGCCGCCTTTGTGCGTCCTTGGTCGTTTCGTAGCGCTTCGTGCTCGGGTCCCTCCTTCGATGTTTTTAAGATGCTTTTAATTACGTTCACAGGATTCCCTCCGACTTCTTCACTTAACGCGCTTGTCTTTTTCTTCCTTTAACTTCTTGTTTCTTTTTGGTCTTTTTCAGTAATTTTATTGTCAGAGACTCCCTTGATTTTATTTTTCTTCTACCACACATAGAAGGTATATAATTATATCGCAAGGGGTCGCGTAGGTATATAATTATTTCGCAATGTGGACATTTTTCTGCAATGTTTTTATAGTTTAGTTGTATTTAATTTCTTTCCTTTCATTCATTTGACTCGTGTAATTTGAAAAAATGCTCTTATATTTTTTTATTTTTCATCAACAAATTTAACACTAAATATATTTAGTTTAAAAAGGTTGCAACAGTTATTGTGAAATACAGGCTACATTCCCTTTGCCAAATATTTACACGCGTAAAATAAAGTCTTCATCACTCTCTTTATTAATGAGAAATATTTCGTGGCTATGGGAAAAAAGGAACAGATGTACAAAACAAACAGTATTTCAATTACAAAGTCATGTAAGAAAGCATAATTTAAAATTCTACCATCAAAATATTAATCTAATATCAATCTTAAAATAAGAAAAAAATTGTCTTACATGTCAATACATAGACTACGGGAACTGGAAGCATGGAATTTGGTATTTAGGTAGGCATTAAGGTATATTAAGAGAATAATTTTAAAAATTCATTCCCTGGAGGGGAGAAATAGGGTTATTCCGTTTATTCGTAATGCGCTCCGCACCTCCCCAAGGAGCTGCGCGCCGCCAGGCGGCGGAGTGGGCGAGGCGCCTGGGTGGGAAGCGCTGGGCGTGGCTGCGCGAGCAGGGGATATTAATTAAATTACGTCACAGGATTGATATAATGTACACCCTTTCCTTTCTAATGAACGCGATAAATAAATACGCGGGTTACTTCAACCAATGTAAAAACACTCAGAGGAAAATAGTAAGAGATTTATACAGATAAAGAGGGATTACTATAAGAAGGGGTCGCTTTGACAACTATTGCTTGGCCACTGCAATTGCAGGTTATGTCTATGCTCTAATGTTGTCAGGAAGCTCGTTTACAATTACATACTTTATAAATGGCGCTGCATGACATTCATTGGTTTCCTGACCTGTCAAAATGGTCCCTTTTTTGAATAACTCCCCTCTACTTATTTTGTTAAATTTTCCAATTTCGGACATAAACTCGAAATTGCTGAAAAATAGTGTTAATATTCCCCTAAGAAATAGCTCAGTATCATCCGACGTTGCATCTAATTTACTATTCATGATGGTACTTCTAACCTAATGTTCTTAAAAAATTATCTTCCCTCTCTTCAAGGATGTATTTCTAAAAACACAAACAGAAATGTTTCCATATAAATACATATTTTACCACTTTATACTTTCTTTCTTTCCCGTCTCTCTTCTCCGTCGTAAGAGCCGTTTTAATACTAATATTCAAGTTAATTTGATCGTCTTATAATTAATAACAAGAACGTTGGTAAAGATCGCAACCACCTCGGTAATTAAAATAAAATCAATAACGCTTGTATAACAATATTCGCAATCATTTCCTAACCCTTTCACCCAAGCCTATTACGTGTTAACTTCTTTCGTTTCTCCGCCCCCTCGTTACCGAGGCTTAGCGAGTTTTCTCGACGCCCTGAATCAGCATTTCCTGCCCCTCAGTCGCCGCTCCTCCACCCCCACTTTGCATATCAATCACCGGCGACGGCGGCGCCGCCTCGCGGCCGCGATCGGAATTTTAAATCAGCCCCCTCCCCCCCCCTTCGCCATATTGGCCGTTCATTACGCGCCGCTGATGGGGCGGAAGAGCGCGGGTCGAGCCCCGAGCGCACGCCAGGCGGGGATTGAATTTCAAAGCCGCCTTGCGATACATACGCCCCCTCTCTCCCTTTTCTCCTCCTCCTTCTTCTTCTTTTTCTTTTTCTTCTTCTTTTTCTTTTTCTTTTTTCTTTTTGTTTTTCTTTTTCTTTTCCTTCTTCTTCTCCTCCTTCTCCTTCTTCTCCTTCTTCTCTTTCTTCTCCTTCTCCTCCTCCTTCTCCTCCTCCTTCTTCTTCTTCTCCTTCTTCTTCTTCTTCTCCTTCTTCTTCTTCTCC